GCCTTCCATTTCTCCTTCCCATCCCTGCTCACTGCCATTACAAGTCAAAGCTTCCTGGGGCAGTGGCTTTCCAACGGCCATGAATGGACTACACAGTAAGAGCCATCGTGCAGAGATCACCCCTCCAGTGATAAATAGGGATGTAAGCATTTAACAGGTTGATCTCTTCTGCTCCGCAGCCATGCACTGGCCTGGCTGCCGGCCCCGCTTCCAGGGAGTTGGCTGATACCCCATGCTATGGTCTCTTTAGTATAAGCCTTCTACTGCAGAGCCCACAGTGTAGCCAGCTCGCTGGGAGCAAGGCCGGAAGCCACGAGCTGGCTTATGCACACCAGCTCCTGCTCTCCAGGAACTAGCTGCACTGCAGTGTAAGCCTGATACTGCAGAACCTGCAGGGGGCACCTTTCTAGCATCCTTCCCTCCCTAATCCCACCTGGCCAAAAGTGGTCAACTGTGTAGCCACTAGGATTTTTAGTGGTTACACGGTTACTTTAAAAACTTTACACATCTCCCTAGCAGTAAAAAGCCTGTGGCAGACAGCCAGCCCTCACCTAGGTAAATGTGTGTCATTCTCCACTGGACACCAAGCGTAGATTTCACAGGTTGAGACAGAGGCAGAATATTTCCTACACTTCCCGGTCTGGACTCCTGGAGGGACATGGGAATAGAGTTAACATCTGGTATGGAGAGCAGCCTGCCAGTGTTCACCCAGGCTCTGACACCCAGCAGAGTGAGTGAGGGTTAACAGGCTGGATTGTTTACTCCACATCACATGGAAAGTGCAGCATTAGTTAACCAGCACCTCCCATTAGGGGAGGGACAACACCCAGTGTGGAGAGGTTCACATGAGCAGAAAACTGGCTTCTATTCATGGGACACCTGCACATTTAACCACCCGGTGTGTGCTCTTTCGCAAGGCCTCTTCTGAAGTTGCTTTGCACTCTGTTCACAGAATCAAGTGAACACTGATTCTCCCCCCGTACAAGAGACAGTACAACCTCTTGGATGTTAATACAGATCAGAGAGGGATTTCATACCATTGCTGTGGGTGCCTATGTATCCTGCAGTACAGTCCTCACTGGAATTACACAAAGTTGTCTTATCTGGAAGCTAGAAGGGAAGAATTGTTACTGTAAGCCACAGATGACCAGCTACCTCCCCACCCACTTCCCTCCTTACCACGAGATGGGAGTGACTCCTCCCAGTTCTAGACTAGATTCTTTTGGAGAGAAAGTAGAAAGGCAACTGCCAGATACCAACCTACCTCAGGACAATAGCCTTGTGTCTGATTCAGGGTCATTATCAGGTTTGTCATGATGAATAATGTGTTCTCCCCCTGAATTGGTAAGAATCAATGAGAGTTATGGGTTAGTTCTAAACAGTGATACATTGGAAAGTGAGACCCTTGCTTGACTGGCATTGCGAGCAGGTTCTCTGGTGGGGCTGTGGAAAGCTAGCGTTAGGAGAGAAAAAGGTGCACTGCTACTGTAACTGGTTCTGCCAGGCATCACTTGAGGGATCCTCATTCCTTGGGACAGAACAGTCCGGAAGGAGCATTAACCCTTTCTGTTGTGCTCTGGCAGGTGGTTCACTGACTCCACACTAGGAAAACAGAGGCTCCCCTATTGCTCTCCAATGGTGCAGTTTTGTCGGCATGGCATTGGCAAAGACAAGGTTCCCAACAGTTGGAGCAGCAGCTGGAAATCAGGAGTAATGAATCCAAGAGATGACGCACCACCCCAGATTAGTTCAGCACCAGACTGCATATCTGCAGGGACATTAACATTAGTTGTAGGTACGTGACAAGGCCAGAGGCAACTACAATGAGAACATGCTGGGGTTTTCACAGACGTGCGCGAGGAGTTTTGCCAAGCGAGATCCCAGCCCTGTAAACTGATCCAGTGGTTTCAATGGGTCCTGCTGCCGAGAGAGAGAAAGCTCCTATCTGCATGGATCACTTAGCATGATTGGGCTTGCCTCAGTGTGGGAGGCTTTTCGAGCTTTAGCGTTATGTATTTATCCACCTGGCAGGCATTGATTTCCCACCTGCATTTCTTTATGGCACAAGCCCAAAGGGCTCTGAGTCGTATCTTTGTTTATGCCCCAGCAGACTTGTCTGAACTACTTAACTAGCAAGTTCCCAATCAGTAGGGAACTTGCTAGTTAATAGTTTAAACAGCTAGCTAGTTAAAGTATTATGTTTAAACAACTAGTGGTGAACAAGTGAGACCCCGCCACCCAGCCCAGGCCAAGTCAGAGCAGCTGGGGCCAGGGCACCACCATCCAGCCCTGCACAGCCAGGTGCAAATTGCTGCTAGTATGGCCCTGCCATTCCATCCAGGCCAGAACCAGGGCACTGCAGGGCCACTCAGGACTGTCAGAGTGGCCAGGGCCCTGCCAGCCACTAGAGATGTAAAAAAAATCTCATTAGTCAGTTAACGGGTTAACCAGGGTTGGTTTAACTAGTGGTCTGGCCAGGATGGAGTTATCCAGTAACCAGTAAGCATCACCTGATAAGGGAGGTGCTTACCAGTTAACCATTAATATCCCTACCTGTCACCCCCTCACTTCTGACCAGACTCAGTCAGGGGTGCTCCAGCCTGCCATAGTTGGCTGCCCAACCAGTTATCTAGTAAAGCGAATGCCTGCCAGGTAATTGATTAATCTTTTACATCCCTACCCCGAGAGAGCTCTGGCATGTCTCCTGCAGATTTGCTGTGGGCAGAGTCAGTCAAAGGCTGGCAGACTGGCAGTATACAGTGAGGCTTGGAAGCCAAGTACTGCACACTGCAAACATATGAGTATCAAAATGTTAGTAGACTCTCCCCATCATTCAGTGGCTTCCAACAGTTCCTGGTTAGTTCCAGGTCAGGTTATTTGAGAACAGTTAGGGCCATTGAGCCAGGGAGGATACAATGTTTAACTTTGGTCAACTGGCTTTTAAACAAACAAAGCAATATAGAAGTGAGAAAGAACACACCTGGGTCTTTACTGAAGCTTTATCCAGAGACTGGGGGTTCCCACCCCCATACAGATGGGTTTCAGGCTTAAGTACTCTTAAAACCAGATGAAGTCAGAGAGAGAGTTGCAGATATTTAGCACCTCTAGAAATCATGCTACTAGCCAAGTGTCCTTTTTTTGTCTACTGTTTCTGCTGTCGCCCACACATCATGCAGAATGGGCATTCCAGTGTGGAGGAGCACTGGCCTGCAAGAGGCTTCTGTTTGTTGGCAAAGCCTTACCAAACTGTGCCAGAAAATCCCGTACCTGAGGTGGAATAACATAATCCGCCACATCCCAGACCCGCAGTCCCAACGCTGATGTGTTGGTTACGGTTATTCCCTTCACCTTGGTGGTAACTGAACTGACCACGGAGTCCGTTTCCTGGTAACCCTTTTCCCACACAAAGACCCAGCTGTAAGAGAAGGAAAGTTCATCAGGGCTTCCACAGTGAGACTCCTTTAGAGAGATTCTAGCAGTGTGGCAGGGAGCCTGGATTCTATTTCTAGCCCCTTAGGTGACTTTGGGAGTCTTAAGATGTGACTCATTTCCCTCCCACACTCATCTGTAAAATGGGGATAATAAGGACCCACTTTGCATGGGCGGACAGCCTTCACTGAGGCTTCTAGAACACCCAGAAGGCTTTGTATACATGGCAGTCCCCACTCTCTCCACCCTCCGCTTTATAGGATTATTGGATCTTTCAGTGGGGGGGCTTGCATGGGAAGTTTTCACAGGCAAGCTTTCGGGCCAAGATCTGAAAGAATGAATTTGGCAGACCATGGGAATTATTTGAGGTGCAAAGGACAGATACACTCACAGCAAAGAAGACCCAGCTGCAGTAGAGCTGCAAGGACTGAAGCAGAAAACAGTGACTTTTGTATCGACACAAGCCGTACCCCCATTCAGCTCTTACACTGGTATAGTGACACTAATGAAGTTATTCTTGCTTTACACCAGTAACAATGGCAGCAGAACCAGGCTGACAATACACAGAGATCCTGTGTGCTTGTCATCAGGCAGGATGATCTTTTAGGAGAAACCCAGCGAGCAGCTTCGTTTACTTTATTGCTCTGCCACTGCATTCCCCATCTAAACATCACTACCTGCTCTGACTAGTTCATTAGCTCCACTAAGGAAATGCAGGGGCCTGTTCTCCCTGGACCCTCCTGTGTTTCCAACCATCATAGGTGAATATAAAAAGGGACTGCTACCAACCCAGAGTTCTCTACCTGCTTATACCAGTGGCAGATCACTCACACATGCACAGGGTAAACAAATGCATTAGGCAGTGACAAAGTCAGGCCCATAGCTTTCCTTAAAGGAGGTCATTTAAAATACTGATATTACCTTATTACATCAAGATATTTGATCTGTCATGCAGTTTGAGAGCAGTTAATGTTGCTAAATTTTGTCATTAGCCTTTGGATGTTTGGTTTCTTAAAACCCTCAGCTCCTGGACTCAAGTCTAGACTTCAGAAACAGAGAAACAATGAACCCTAACAGCTAAAACAACCACCCAGAAAGCAAATAAAGAACCCACATATTGTTTTAAAAATCTTCATTCTGCCCAAATCAATTTTATGATCTAGGAGTTCACCCATGATTTTTGAGCTAGCGATATTGATACTGGGGAAAGAAAGTGTCTGAAACATGTGCAAGGGAGAAGTTACTTAGCAGTTAGTTCACTGCTGGAAAAAAAAACCACGTAACAAGCCACACTGAAGACAAAACACATGACATCCTGTACCACCCTGTCTCACGCTCTAGTTCCAACCCTGAGCATAACCATGACCAGCTGCCAAAACTATCATACTGTTTTCTCCCTCAACCTGTTATGCTTCCATTCTTGTACAAGGCTCAACAGCTTAAAATATGACACGTCAGGTATTGAAAATTCAAGCCCCTAAAAGGAGACAGGGGCATTCCATTCACAACACCCCAGAAAAAACACAAGGCCATTCTCTCTAGGAAGCTTCTGTTCTGCCACTTGGAAGCCATGGGCTGAGCTACTTATTTAGGAAAATCCAGATTCAGATCATTGGAAAAGGCCTAAGGGCTTTCCTGGCTGTCTGAGCCATGACAGCAAGGGACAAGCCCATCACAGAGAGATGTCACTAGAAGGGACACTATCCAAGAAGAGAAACTATCTTAACTCAGATGTCAGAAACACCAGCAAATAACCAAATAAGTTTAGGGCCCAACTGAACTCAGTACAGTACAGGCTGAGAAAGGGGTGTCTTTCCATTTGCTTTAATGGGACTGGATAAGGCCCTAAGTTAATTGCCTTCGATTTTCCATTAGTGGAGATTTGTTCAGCTGAAAAAGGAACTAGGTAGGCAGAGGATTCTTTCCACTTTACATTTAGTGGGTAGTGTGGAAAGGACTTTAGGGAGGATGGCTGTGGACAAAACCACAGAGCTGTGGTAAGTGAAGAGCTGACACAGCAAGCCAAAAACTCAGAGTAGTCAGGCACAGTGGGAAACCAAAGAGGAAAAAGCAAAGTGAGAAATGACCTCAAATTTTTGTAAGAAAAAGCAGAGATACAGCATGAGTTTCTCTTGGTGCACAGAAAGTAGAGATGTGAACAGCTAGTTGACTATCCAATAAGCAAATCGGATTAGTCAACTAGCATGTTGACTAGTTTGCTTCCCCTCACCTTTGCTGCCTCTATCAGAACCCACCCCACATCCCTGTGGGGAGAGATAAGGAGGAGGTGCTTCCAAGTGGCAGCACAGCATGAAGCCCACTGCACATGGCGCTGCTGCTTTGAAATGACACATGCAGCCTCAGGCCAGCTGGGAATCCTTCATTGATAATGAAGGTGCTAACTACTTTCTGAATGGTATTGGTCCTGCCTTATCCATCCACTGACTTTGATCTTTATTACTCAGGTTTAGCACCCCTTCTCCTGATACTTTATGCATAGAGGTAGGGGAGTGGGCGACAGAACCTCTCCCCCCCCTTCCCTTCCCCTACTTATTTCGAGTTTCCTTATCCTCTAATCATAACTCCGGTCATCTGAAGAAGTGGGCTGTGCTCACGAAAGCTCATGATACAATCTACATGTTTTGTTAGTCTATAAAGTGCTACCAGACCATTTGCTTGCTGTTCTCCTTTCCCCCCCCCCCCCCACTAACTTGGCTACCCCCTGAAGCAACTAATTGAATAGTCTGTGCTATTTGCACTGACTATTTGGTTAACTAATTAAAATTTTATATCCCTAATGGAAAAAGGGGCTGGTCTCCTCTCATCTACTCTAGTAAGTACTAGGAGTAACACCAAAATATTTAAAAAAAAGACATAATTATGTAGCACTTTAAAGACAAGATTGGGGAGAGAGGAGAAAAAGGCTGCCAGCAGAAGAATCCCACCAAGACAGTCAAACCTTCCTGCCCCTAAAGTATTTCTGGTGCCCCAGGGAAGTTAAAGCAATACTGTTAAAAACACTGAATTACATATTTCATTTCTCTGCTTCAAAAGGTAGGTGATATTCACATTAAGTTAAACTGCTCATTATCAGCTGATGTCCATCTTTCTTTTGGTGATATCAGCTATTTCAACAGCAGTCAAGTGACACGACTGACATTTCACAACAGAGCACAGATAGAAATGTAGACTAACACAGAACATCCAGTTAAGATAACACTGAGGTCGCCGTAAGACATATGCAGCATTGGTTAGCCATGTTGACCCTAGAATATCAGAAGAACAAAGGGTGAGGTAATTTTTTTTGGACCAACTTCTGCTGGTCAGAGAAAAATTTGAGTTTACATGGCTTTTCCTCAGGTCTGGGACTGGCTCCTCAGAGTGTCGCAATGAAATAAAGTTTCCATAAGGCATTAGCAGCTCAACATAAGAGCCTGAACTCAATCTATTAACATAGCAGATCTGCATTAAGTAAGAACTATTACATTTAGCCTAATCCTCTCCATGGCATATTTATCCAGCACAAGTAAAGGGGATTCCATCTCTGTGCATGGAAGATTTACTATTATCAGCAATTCCTGATATCCACCTTAGTTACTTGGCTTTATTTCATGCCATTACATCATAAACACCGGTCTCTAAATAGTTCTCTGTTCCTAGTGTTTACTCCCTTGAACTTTTTTTAAAGGATAAAAACCACAATAACTACTTCCCTCATTTAGTGGCATAGGTGCTGGACCTAAGGGGCAGTGGCGGGAGGGGAGGTGATGCAGCACCCCTTCCTTGAACTGGTTCCCATTATACACAGGGATAATTTGGCTCAAAAGTTCAGTGCCCCCATTATATAAATTGTTCTAGCATCTCTACATATTTGAGAGTCATAACTTACCCAAAAAGATAATCACCGAAGTCTGAATTCCAATATATTTCAGGACCCACCTCCCTTCCCCAATACTATAGTCAAGAGATTTTATTAGCCATTTTTGCCTGATCAGCTGGGTGGCATGTTACAATCTGTAAACATTAAGTTCCAGGATCTGCCTGAGTTTATAAAGTCACTTGGCCAAAGGCCAAACCTATCAGGTAAGCCTCACAATGGGAGGACCTTCAGGGCACCAACTCTGTTGTGACAAACAAGATGAGCAAGGAGTTCTCTAGTTCTCCCACTATTGCAGACACCTGCCTGCTATAGGAAACTAAACAGACCAAAACCTGTCTTCTGGCCAAATCCCCACATTTGCCTTGGAATCCCAGATTTAAGCAGGTTTAATTTAGTCAGCTAGCTGCAACACAGGGCTCAAGAGCCATCTGTGCCATGATCTGGGAGCCATATTTCCCTTGTCCTCCAGGCAGAGTCACTCTCCTTGCTGCTGCAGCACCTGGCATCCAAAGCACAGAGTCCGAATGTTTTGGATAGAGGCAGCAGTGGGGTGTGGC